TCTGACCCCCGGGATCCTCCGGCACCGCCCGGGGCCCTTCAGACCCCCGGGATCCTCCGGGATCCGGGACCCCTCTGACCCCCGGGATCCTCCGGCACCGCCCGGGGCCCTTCCGACCCCCGGGATCCTCCGGGATCCGGGACCCCTCTGACCCCCGGGATCCTCCGGTACCGCCCGGGGCCCCTTAGACCTCTGAGGCCCCTCAGACCCTGCTGGGATACCCCGGGCCCTCCAGCCCCCCGGAATGTCGAAGCTGTGCCTTTGAGCCAATTAACCGTTCCCCTCAGGCTCGAGGCTGCAAACCTTTGTGAGGAGGGGCCAGGAACGCACCTGTCAGGTGAAACGATGCTGAGGGTTGTCGTTCCCAGTGGGACTTGCACTTGAACCGTACAAGAGCAAGCTGAAGTTAATTGTGATCGTGATTATTGGCTTTTGGGGGTTTTCCCTGTGTACTCCATAAGGTACCAAAAAGTTTTAGTCATGAGGACGACTCATCCAAGGGGGTTGTGTTGCCTCAATAAGAACAGTTGGGGGTTACTTACCAGTTCCTTTTAATATTTTTTTCCTTATTTTTAAAAAAAGAGGGGTTGGGGGAAAGAAGTAATTCCCTAGGTGTACTATGGCTCTTTTTTTCAAAGTTGCAAACAAGTGTGCCCCGCAGAGTAACTGTGGTTCACCTGCCCCTCCCCACAGGTCCTGTGCCGTGCAGAACTCTGCCAAGGTTTTTTGTCTCATTAAACCAAGTGGTGTGACGAGTGTGACAGATTTTCCCATGGCAGAGGTGTGAAATGTGAAGTAAAAGGTAAGAATGATGGGGGTTTAATATCCAGACTGACAGGAACTGGTCCTGTTTTGGCCAACCTAGTGTACTTGGCAGTTAAAATCCCTGAACCAGAGTAGTGGGGCCAAGCTAACAGTAATGATCCCTGTGTGGTGACCATCTTTTTCCTAAAAACTGTCCCACTGGCTTTTCTCTGTGCAGTGCTCGCTTAGAGAATGAGGGAGGTGATAGATGTTTCTGCAGAGAGGTGTTTTTGCAGGAGTAAGAACACAGTTGCCACGTTAATTTGATAACCTCTCACTGCTGGGGAAAAACCGAGTGCATTCCTGCCAGCTCGGAAGAGATTCCTTGTTTGCTCCAGCAGTAACTCACTTTCCTCAAGCCAAATGGTGCGCAGAAAGTTGCTACCAAGTTAAAAATCTTAATTAGTCTTAATTGTCCCTTGACTCATTAGCTCTCTGAGAACACTACACCTGAAAAGAGCACTTTGTTTCTAGGCCCCGTGCAATTTAAATCAATTCCCAAGGCTTCAAAGGGTTCAGTCAGAAGCAATCAGAGCTGACAGCACTTTTTTTTTCTAAAAGAAGCCGTAATTGGCTGTTAAGTTAAAGCTTTGAAGCTTTGATGGGAGAAGTGTTTTAGGTCAAATTAATAGAGAAAATTGAGAAACAATTAGGGCAGCTTTAAATGAATTACTTCCACTATTTATTTTGAGCTTATTGAACAATTGTGTTGTATGTGTATGGGATTGAAATTAGCCATCTGTGCGAGATAGCTTTGGCCTAAATTGACCTCTCGGGTAAGTAAGTAGCTTGCCCTAATTCCTACACCAGATCCCGAATTTTACTGGCAGATAAGCTTAATTGGGAGTAAAGATGAACGTGCCTGAGACGTTCCACACTTTTCTGTTGGGGCTGAAGTGATCTGTGCAGGCAGAGGTAGGGAAGGCTTTCGGGGCGGGGGGTGGCTGAGGAGGTCACACGTGAGCAGAACTGTCTGTTAGCCCTACCTGCCTGCTGAGGGACTCATTTAGGGCAGGTAGCTCGGGGGCAGCTGCAGGTCGTACCCGGAATGGGGGAGTGGCTGCAGCCCCGGCAAGGGGCTGTGACCTGCCCTTTTACCTAGGCAGGGCTCGGGGTTCTGCGGCGCGGGGCGGGTGACCGGCTGCGCCGAGACACAAGAGCCGATGACTCAGCAAGAAGCTCCCAGACTCCGGGGGCACGGACTGGGAGGGGATAAACGTCCGGGGAATCCTTTGTAGGGAGCCCTGCCCGAGGCACCAGCTCGAGCTGCTACTATGTGTCTGCACCACGTTTAAATTACTTAAGGAACAAGAGGTGTGGGACTCTGCCACGGGAAACCTGGAGTCGAGCTGGTAAGGAAACCTGGTCTGACTGTGTGAGATCGGACAGCATCTGTTTGTGCGCTGCTCTGGTTTTTCAGGGAGCAACCAGGGGAAGAATAATGATCCAAACCAAATATCTCATATGCTCTTTGCAGAATGTGAGCAAAACCCAAAGCGGTTCAATTTTAAAACTGAAAGGGTGGAAATATTCTCGGTGCTGATTTTAGAGACATTGAAAGTGGTTTTTCCGCCTCTCCTTTCCCTATTTGTAGCAGGCCCGTCCCAGCTGTGCTGCAGCGGGTCGGGAGGAGGCGGGGGCAGAGGTGAGTGACAGGAGGACCCGAGGCAGGCGGCGGTCAGGGCACGGCGCTCCCTGCCAGCATCCTCCCGGTTCATCCCCAGCTTTCCCTCCAGGTGTCAGCCTGGCTCCGCGCTACCGCCAGCCTGCCGCCGCACCTGGACCTGCCTCCTGGCAGCCTCGGGCTGCCTTTTCATCCTCATCCTCATTCCATAGAATTTGGGGGCGCACCCGGCGGGGCCCGGGCCTTGCAGACACCTACCAGTGCACCTCGGGGCGGTGCTGGTGTCCCTCAAGTTGCTGTGCCTCCGTGTTTGATCATCTTCTTTAGTGCCCGGCAAAACGCTCCTCCGGAGTTTTGTTTGGGGGCTTTTCATGGGTTTGTTACAAGTAAAGAAATGGGAGGTGCCCTGGGAGTCCTTTTACCACTGTTGGAATGTGTTTGTGTGGAGAACTTAGCTTGTTTAGAGTTTTCTGTAAAAAGCAGACTAGTGCCCAGGGATGAAACATGTTATCAGCCTGCCTTGGTAGGGAAAATGCATTTGGGAATGTTGGTGGAAGGTATCCCTGTCTTCCTTTGCATCATGCCCATAGCTGTGTAGTGCATAGCTTGGGGTTCCTTTGCCTGTGATAAACACAGCTGTGTTTTCCCTGGGGACAGGAGGGATATTTTGGAATGCTGTGTGCAGGAGTGTTTCATTGCAAAGCCTGTGGCTCGAGCACAGACACTGGTTTATGGGCACAGAGGCCGTATAGCTGCTCATGTGTGTAAAGTGCTCTTGGTTCAGTATCCACGTGCACAGGGCCGTGTGTGCACTGCGTGTTTGCTGACATGACACCAGGAAAAGGAGATATTAAAGCCCCTTGTCTTGTGCAATGCAGAGATTCTGTCTCCAGTTCTTGGAAGTGGCCAAAGCTGCTGTGAAAAGGCCTCCAGGATGTTGGTACATGGGGGAGTCACATATAAGAAAATAAGGTTCTTAGCTGTGTGGGAGTCAAAGAGGCTGTGAGAGAAAGTGTGTGTGTGTAAGAACAGAAATCCTGGGACACCCCTGATCCACCAGCTCCCTTCAGGAGACAGCATTAGGAACTCAAGTACCTTGTGTTCAATAATGACCTTAATACCAAGAAAGTTTGATTTCAAGACTCTCTTCCCTGAAGGTCTTCCTTCCTCACATTGTCCCTGTTAGGATTTTTGTGGCTGAGCTCTCCGTGGTTTCCTGCAGCTCCTCAGCTGAGTGCTGAGCAGCTTCCAGGAGTGCCTGAGACACATTGCCTGACAGCTGCCGCGGTGACTCCGGCTCTCTGCTCTCCCCGTGGAGAGATGCTGTGCACTGTGTGCCCTCAAGTGACTTGGTTTGGTAGGGCTCTTCCTTCCTTTTTTAAATTTTTTTTGGGGGGGGGGCGTTTTTGTTTTCTGATTCAATCCCTTTGGCTTTCAGCTCCAGCTTCTGAATCTCGGCATCTGTCAGTGGTGCGATAAATTCTCTTTGGTGATAAGAGAACAGCTGCCAGTAGCAAGAGCAGGGATGGCACTGGGGCTCTCTCCTGCTGTGCGAGTGCTTGCAGTCAGCAGAACCTCCCTGTGCACACAATGGAGAAGGCACCTCTTCTGCCCAGCCCACTGCTCTGCTTCCAATTTAGCAACATCTTTTCCCTCCGTGTTGAGCAGATGCACATGAACAATTGTGCAGCATAATAGAGTCCTAAACCAAAAGAACTGGAAGTAATTGACAAATGGCTTTCTTCTGGATAGGTTCTGAAGGTGGAAGTAAAGGAATTTTTTTGAGAATTTAAGGGATTTTCAGGGAAAGACAGAAGCCTTTGCAATGCTGCTTAATCGTGTGGGATGGTGTTTCCTAGCGGAACAGTCTCCTTCTAGTGAAAATGGTAGAGGAAAAAAAACTCCTTTCTGTGGAGTCCTGAATTTTTGGGGCATAGGGTGTGGGGTTTTTGTTTTTCATATTTAAAGGTCTCCCTGACTCCAGCCTGCCTGTAAAATTTTATCCCAGCTGGAATTTATGCTATGAGAGAATGCATTTTGAGACCAACTATTTTGACTAGAGATGTTTTATTTTTCTCGTTGTGGTGAGTTTAGTTGATTTATTTATAATGAGGGTGAAACTCCAGGAATTGTGGACAGCTTTGGTCCATAAGCTCATTTCACTTTTGGAGAAGCATGTGGGATTTGGAGATTGCTAAAAAAGAACCAGACCATTCCTGTAGAAGTCCTAGGCTCCCCTCACCCAGTCAGAGTCTGACAGTAGATTTCCCAAAGGGGATCATGTTTCCAAGACACTTAAAAGTCAGAACAGGCTTTCTGTAAAGTCATCCTGTGGTTGTGGGTTTTGTTATAAATCCTCACTGTTGCTGACTGACTGCTCTGGGTAGTTGGCTGTTTGTTTGTCTGTGGTCATGCTTAAAACTTCTCATTTGGCTCTGATGAGGATTTCTATGCTGAAATCAATTGGACTCTCCCAAACTTTTAATGCACTCTTACATCTGATCTGTGAAGTGCTGCTTTAATCCCAAACAAGGCCTGGGGTACTGGCACTTGAGATCATCTCACTGTACTTCCTTTTGCCTTGTTTTTTCCTCATCTGCCAAGATGAGCACATGCAAATCATGATTTTTTTTTTCCTGGCTGTCTTGCTAAATGCCAAAATCTCTGCTAAGTAGCAGCTGTATAGTTTGAAAATTGGAGATATGAAAATATAGGTTTGCCTTGCCTCTGAAAATGCTTTGTAAAGATACAGGAAATGGGGAGGAAATTATTGTCTTTTTGCTGACTGCACTGTGGATATTGTTGCCTGCCTGCCAGGATTGGGTTTTCACCTTTGCTACTCTAGTTCGTCTTAGGAGACTTTAGGTTTTTCTCAATTATTTTAATTACTAAAATTGGAATCACATCATCTTTTTGACACACAGTTCATGTTCTCTCTCTCATCTTCATTCTCTATCTGACTTCTTTAAGTCATGGAGACTCTTAAGTGCCAAGATGTGTGGAGAAGGCAGTGTATGGGAAGGGTGAAGTGCTGGGAAGTCGGTGAAGAACCAAGTACAGTATATAGCCGAGCCCTCCAATTGTTTTTATTCCATTATTTTGTGACATCTTTTGGCTACTTTTCATGATAGTAGATGCCCCAGTCCCATCTCGAGGTTGGCCTGGGAGCCCTGGAATGCTCCTCTTCAGCCATTATTTGGACTAAAAGCTCTCTGCAGAGAAGAGAGAGAAGGAAATGGTTGCCTGCTTTCCTGCCCAATTTTTCCCTTTTTTCTTCAAATTATTTGTCCATTTCATCTATTAATTCCATATACTTAAGCTAATGTGTTGATTTTTAAGTTGTCAAACTTTAAGCAAGGTCCATAAAAGATTGTTTCCCAGTCTTAGAAGCATTTTTGGGGATTTTGCTCTGTTGTTCTCCAGTTGCATCCTCCTTGCCATTTCCTTCGGCTCACAAACCATGCTGTGTACTGCATCTCATCAGTCATACGAGACTCAGCAGCATGTCCCAAAAGTGGTGTCAGAGCACTTGGGTTTGACCAGGCTTGAGGATTCAGTTCCACTTCTGCTGCTTGCTCTGTGACCTTGGAATGACGGTAGCACAGTCTGTTCTGGGACAAACGCGGCAGCGATTGAACTCCCTGTCTGCGCTGTGCACGTTAAGCCGTGGGGAGTTAGAGTTGTGGTACTCTCGCCCAAAGCCCCTCTTGATCCTGTTTTCCTCCAGTTTGCTGAGCTGATGGATGCCTTCTGACGGCATTCCTGCCGTCGGAGTGACTGCTGGAGTGCGAGCCCTTTGCTCAGCAGCAAGACAGGGCGCCGGAGCCGCTGTGGTGCCAGCCTGTGCCGTGTCACTGGGAAGTGATCTTACCCACAAGTGAAGGGCGCCTCTTCCCCCGCTGACAGCTGCTGCTCGCGACATCTGAGCGGCAGCAGCGCCTTGGGAGAGCCTGCAGCTGATCCGTGCTGCTGGGAGGGGTTTGGAGCGGGAACCGGAGCGCAGTGTAGGTATGGGGCGCTGCTCACAGCTCTCTGGTGTGTCCTAGGGCCGTATGTCATGGAGAGCCATCGGGCTTGGCTACTCTGGGTATTCCTGGCAAGCTGGGATTTTTTTCGGCAGCCTCACGAGGAGCTGAACGGCCGCAGATGCTTCCTCCTGACTGGAGCTGGAAGTTTGAAGGGCAGCTGAATTGGCTAATGTTGGTGCTTTGATGCAGAGTGTGAGAAATGGTGATGAGGCATGAGGCAGAACAGCTTGCTCGATTGCTGCTGGAGTGACTGTGCAGTGCTGACAGTAGTTAAAAACATGGCTTTTGTGCATAGGCTTGGTTAATATATAGGACTTGGAAGGCAGCTCGGAACAGCTATGGGCAATGGCCACAGGCTCTCTCTGTCTCTTTTTAATAGAGTCGCTTCCCTGCCCAGAACTGCACTTTAATTTTCAGTCTCTTTAGGGTCATTAGGAAAGGCTGACATTTTGGGAACATTTGTACAGTACAAATATGAATAACAGTATCCATGCTTTGTCAGACAAGGGAATGTGCAATGAGGTCAGGGTTATTTTCCTGGTTGTTAGCAGTGGTGACATTCCTGTTTCAAATATAAAACATGGTGTTCCTTTTGCTGGAGAGTTAGTCCAGAGCAAAGGCTCAGCTGGGGTCTCTTAGAACCAAGACATACTGGATGGGTTGTGCTTTCTTGGGCCCCAGGACATGACTGTGTTGAACTTCCCAGAGGAACCTCTGCTGCAGTAGGAAAGCTATTTTAACAGCTCTTGTTCTCTGCTTGGCCCTCTCTTCTGTGTATTGTGCAGGAAGAGCAATAACTCTGGCACCTGTGAGAAGTCTGGCTAGGCCTGACAGGGCAAACACCACACAGAACCTGGCTGCCACCTTGGATCTGGGAACCCACCATCCTGCCTGTGTTCAGGCAGTCCAGTCTGCTCTCATCCTCACCCTTCTTGAGTATCCAGAAGCTGTATTAGCAGTTCAGGGAGTGAGACCTCTTAGTTCCTGCTTGGCCTTGCTGGCTGTGCCACTGCAGGAGGCAAAATCCCAATGCAAGCATTGCTGCAGGCAACTGGGAAGGGCTGCCCTGTTCCTCAGGTCATGGAGAGACCTGCTGCTGCCAGCCAGACTGAGAGGGAGCTACAGGATGGGCAGCAGTAACCTGAGAGAATAGATGACCTTGGCACCATGTCCATCTCTCCATATCCAAGCAGTTTCAACTTGGTGTCAGAGTTTTTCAGACAATTTTCTCAAACACCAGTGGATGTGCCAGCTGTCTGTAAGGTGGGATCAGATGGTTAGTGATCAGTCCCTCCCTGAGTGATCCCACTGGTTTCAGGGGGAATTCCTGTTTGAGAGAGACATTCACCCGTGACAAGGGTGTCCTTCCTGTGCAGTCCCAGCATCTCTCCTTACACAGTGCACGTGGGGAATGGTAGAAGAGACAGTGATTTTGGGTTTCTTGTTTAGCCTCAAAGTATTCATCCTTGTGTTCTTCAGGTTAGGATGTGCATCAATTCATGGAAGCGGATGCCAAATGCCCGTGGAGTCGCTGAAAGAATATTTATCAACTTTTCTCTCTCCACCACATTTCCAAAAAAAACTCAACAGGAAAAAAGACCTGCAGCCTCATTATTATGTCAGTATAACTTGTGCCATGAGGAGATCAAGCAGGCATGTCAGTGTGGGACTGTCAGCGTGAAGAGACCAACTGTGGCTGTGTGTGCAAGCAAGTTCTGGGCACACCATGTCAGGGGCACTGCTGAGGTTCTTCCAGGCTGCTGGAATGCCCTTTTTTCCTCCCTTTTTTTTTTTTTGTTTTTTTTGATGGACGAGTAAATTATTAGGATGTGGACTTGTCAAACAGACTTGCCAGGTTTTCTGCAGTCATCCCTAGTGGACTGCCTAAAAAAGGGCTGGCACTGCATCACATGGAATGACCGATGATATGTCATATATTTTTAATGGGCAAAATGTTTTAATAAACATTCTCCCTCCTAAAACACTGGATTTAAAATAGGTTTTAGCCTTGAGCCATGTAGCTACCCAGCTGTGAATTTTATAAGGCAACAATCTCCACATCATTAGATGTTATGACTGATATACCAGTGATGGCAATAGTAAGTATTTCCACACACTAAAAAAGTTTCTGATAGCAGTTAAAGGAAGTATGGCTCTACTTGAAAGATTTTCTCAGCTCAAAATTAAAGCCATTTTCTGAAATAATGAAACCAGGCATGTACTGTCTTCTAGTGAACCACAAGTTCTAAGTATTGAAGCCTTGCTGATTGCTGCTCCTGACAGTTTTAATCACATTGCCTGACACTTTTGGAAATCAACATTATTTTTCTTTTCATGTGATTTCTGCATCTTCAGCCAATTAAAATGCTGCTGAAATGTTGCACAATGGGACAGATGAGACCCCATCTTGATCCACTGCAGTTGTCTTGCTTCATAGGAGAAACAGCTTGGGCTGTTTGGGTTTTTTCTGGGTTTTATTTAATAGTGTGTGGGACCAGATCTGGAGTTGAAAGGTGATCCAGTGACCCCTGTTTGGACAACTGAAGTCCCTCCTCTACACTGACCTCTGTGCAGTGGTCAGTAAATCATGCAGCCTGTTGGAGATCTGTTCCTCTCAGCATAAACCCATTGCAAGTCAAACACTGTCCCTCTTGAAAACGTCACACCTCTTATCCACCACAGACAGTGAGATCAGTGTGTGTATGTCTGAAAGAGAGGGCTGGTAGAGATGAGTTGCTTCTTTATCTTTGTAGTGATTTACACATGGGCTGAGAGAGTTCATAAAGTTGAAAACAAGTGCTATTGTTTCTGGGCTCTTTGCTGTTTGAGGTGGGCTAGAGCAGATGTGTTTTCTGTGATTATTTTTAATTTAAGTTTAGCACTGTGGCATTTATTCACTTTACAGAAGATCCCCTTTTTTATACAGAAGGCATTCTGTTACAGTTTCAGTAGTCATTCAGAAATTCTGCACAAAGTGATTCTTTTAGTAGTGTACAATTAATTTCAAGCTGTTGAAGGTGACAACCTTCTGTCATGTTCTGTCATGTTCTTGTAGGACAGAAATAGAAGCACAAACATGGCTTACAAAATCTGACTGGAACTGATATCAGAGAGGTGTTAATCTTTTAACTGCCAGCTCTCTGGTGAGCTGATAGAGCTGTAGTGAACAATCTAATGGCTTAGCTGGGTCATGTCAGATTTTTCTCCTGATGTCTGTAAAAGCATTTCTAGCAGTGCAGGAAGGAAGTTTTCATTGCTGCTCGTGCAAAGATTTGTTTGATTAACAATTAGGTATTCCAGATAGTTAGACTTTGCTTTTAATGTTTGGTATGTGTCTATTTTTGGTGGCTGAACCATAAGAGCCTTGAGGAGAACTTTGAGAATTTCTGGTGCAGTTTTCCATATTTATTGCACTTAGATGGAAGGTAACCTTCCTTACAGAGGGGAATGAGTTGCTGTTGCTCCATAGTTTTGGCATTAGCCGTTGTGGTGATGGCCAGGGGGAAGAGAACTCGGAGATCCTGGGTGCTGGCTGCTGTAAGGGCAAATAGCATCTGGCAGCCTCTGTCCCACTGAGCTTTCAGCCCTAAAGCACTCCCAGGGATTTGTGCAGCCTTTTCACCTGTGATCCTGAGCTGGCTTAGGGCTCTATATGACTGGATTTGGCACTGAGCAGGATAAAGCTTTCCTGCAGGTTATCTCTTGTGATGGGATCTTGTTTCCTGCCACTAGCCAGGTATCACTCAGTCCCTCCTCTGCCCGTTCCTCACGTGCTGGCTCTCAGGAGCAGTTAGTTAAATGGCAAATAAATCTGATTCCTTTTAGATGAAAAATCGAGTCAGGTAAGTTGCTGCTTGTTTTGCTTTGACTGCTGTGTCTATTAGGCAGTGATTTCTGGCACTTCCCCCTTGCTGTTGTCACCCTTCATAAACTCCATTCCCAGGGGCCTGACAAACTTGTGTGGCACTGGAGAGCAGCGTGGCCGCCCTGCCACGGGAGGTGTTCCTGCCCTGGCTGCCCGGCCTTGCTGCCTCCCCCCTGCAGCCGGGGCAAGAGCTGCAGGGCTGGGTGCTCTGCTCTGGCACGGCAGGGAGGGCCACGCTGGGGGCTGGGGAGGAGAGGCTGGAATTCTGCCCCTGCCATGTCAGTGCTCAGCCTCACCTGGATGGGCAGGGCCAGCACGGTGACCTCTGTCCATGTTTCTGTGTGTGCCAGGTGTCCCTGTGGGCTGAGGAAAACCATTTTCCTGTGGGCAGAGGGACCCCGTGGTGTGGTGTCCTCAGCAACCATCTCTTCCTCCCCTGCACATGGAGTAGGGGTGGGTAATTCACTTCCTCCCCAAGGAAGAGGAGCTGTGCCAGCACCTCTGTCCCCTGCCGTGGGACAGCAGGTGACCCCCCAATTTCCAGATGCTCCTTCGTGCCCTGCTGTGAAGGCAGGAGGGCAGCACAGTACTGGCACAGCCTGCACGAGGATCTGGTTAAGTCTTGAAAGACTTTGTGGGTTATGACATTCCCCTAAATGTGCTGAGCTTTCTTTAACCTTTCATAAAACATTGTGATCTTTATGGACTGTATCATATTGTGCAGTAATGTGCTTTATTGTCCACAGAATAAGCTTTTCTTAAAGATAATTGGAAAGCTGGAAATGGCTGCTATCGGCTGATTTTTTTTTTTAATACATTATTTCTGAAATGGGCCTGGTGTAATAATGACCCTATCTGTTTAAGATTTAAGATTTGTCTTGGCAGAGAAAATTGATCCATTTCACCTTTGTCTAATGGAAATTTTTATCTGGGATTATCTGTTTATGTAAATGAATGTTCCTCTGAAAAGAGAACTTGAGGGGGCTGTAAATCTCAGTGACACTTTAGTTTCATGGGGGGAAAATTGGAAAGGATTCTAGTATTTATCTGACTGAAATTGGTTATAAAAACAAAATTATCTTCATGTACCTGCTGCATCTGATGTTTCCTGGAATTTCATTACCTTTTTGAATAATGCAGCATTACACAATATATGGGATTCTCTGTGATTAAGCCCGAAATTGTTGGGGGGTCATTTGCTGGCACTGTAATTATCAGGAAAAGGCAGCGTATTTGGGGCAGTGGGATTCTGATTCCTGCCCTAATGGGTACCAATTAGCACAATCACATTATTCAGAGGACTATGAGAAGAGCGGGGAAAATATACCACATGACTTTTTTTCCTCACAAATTTTGTGTTGTTTCATTTTGATTTTTTTGTTGTTTTTTCTTTTTTTTTTTTTAAACTGAGGAGTGAATCTAATTACAGGGGAAAATGTCTTTGGCTAATCAGCTTTTGTTTTCTGTTTGCAGAGCAGGACTGTGAATGTAGCATTTAAACTAATGATTTAAACATCATCTTTAAAAGCAGTTTCACTGTTAAAGAGGCAGACTAGGATTTTTTTTGCCAAGTTCCTTCTTGAGCAATAGATGACACAGCATGACCGGGCTGGATCCTGGCTGGAAGGACCACGCCAGACACAACATTTGGCCGGTGTCTGCTAACAGTGAATATGTTTGTCTAAGATAGCGGTTCTAAGTGCTGCCCCTTCTCTGGCACTGCATGGCACTGATGAAGAAAGGACAGCTGAGGTGATTTTGTACCTATTGTTATATTTCAAAAGGTACTATACAAGAAGATGCAGCTTTTTGGAATTTTTTAAAATTAACCAAGTTGAAAACCCAGTGTGTTTTCACATGAAGCAAAGCTACTTCGTATCTATTCGATCCTTGCCATCTTTGGCAAACCAAAAAGGATTTTGAAGGTATAATGACATGACAGTGTCAATTGTAGTTGCTCAGAGGGAGCAGAGGAACGCACACCACACCATGCATTTAACAGGTGAAACTTCTGGTTGCTGTTGCTCAGCAAGAAATTGCTGCTCTCCTGGAGTAGAGGAAGAGCCGTTTGAGTCTGTAATCTGTGAAAGAACTTCAAGGTATAAAACAGTACCCCATATTTGTACATCTAGTTAAGTGGCCTAATTTCCAAGCATCTTCCAAAGCTGGTTGCTCAGAGCCTTCAAAAATCACCCCCCTGCTCAAGCTGCCCACATGGAGAATAAGAGCCTGACTTGGGAGGTGCATCATCTGGGTCTTCCTGGGCTGATTCCAATGGGAGCTGGACCAAAGGCTTTAATGACAAGGGGATTTCCTTTCTGCACTCAGAAATCATGGCTGTAATTGGTGCTCTGCTGAGTTGCAGCAGGACTTCTTCAATGGTCCAGCCTAACATAGCAGTTAGTACCAAAAATATTTTAATAAAACAAATAAAAAGGGAAAATCAGCACTTATCCATGGCTTTCACTCTGTGATAGCTGGCAGATTTCTCTTGAATCTTCTGTGTCTTAATGTTGCTCAATTTATTTCCATAAAACTTCTGGCAGCAATGTTCCCTGCCCAAGTTCTTTACTTCTGTGACTTTCTGCTCCACATTTCAGGCAGTCATTTCAGCTGGAAATATACATTATTACCAGCTCATTAAATCCAAAATAAATGAAGTGGAAAATTAGAGAACTCCATGGATTACAGTGCACCCAACTCAAAATAGAAGTGTGTGATTAAAAACAAAATGGTCTGCATTTTAAAAACGGATTAATAGTTTTGGGCCCAGCTGGCAAAATATCCCACAAAATGTGTTTTCAGAGTAGGGCTAATGTAAAATAAATGCCACTAGCAGTGCGCAAGGTGGGCCTCTACAAGTGCAGGGCTTTGCAGTAATCAGGCTCAAACAAATAGAAGGAAGATACATATCTGTAGTATAAAGCACTGAAAGACAGGAGAGGCACTTGAATAATGCAGGGAGGAGGAGAAGGCTTTGCTTTGCCTGAGCTGAAATGTAAATGCATGTGTAAATCCTTGCAGAACTGGAGCATGGTTAGGCTCTGCATCCTTACTTGCTTGCTTTGAAAGTAACAGTGATAATAACCATTAAAAATAACAACACATAAATCGCTAGACAAAGGCCCTGGGGTTTGAGAACATTTGGGCTGGCAACACTGACAGCCCAGCATTAAGTGGTGCCATACAGGTAAATCACCTCCTCCTTGCAGCACAACCAGGCTGAAAGAGGCAGCGTGTGCCTGAGTGTATGTAAGTACATCTGTGTCTTTAATCTTCTCGGTTTCACTCATTTCCCCTGGTTTGGGTCTAGTTTCACCAGCGGTTAAGAGAGATGAGACTGGATGAGTGGTGAAACAGGTCTTTTTCATCTCGTGTGTCACTATGAGTAGTGCAGTAGAAAATGGAGAGCTAGGAATGAGGCAATGTGGAAAGACAGGTGGGTATTTTGCAACACAGACAAAACTGGATTTTCTCATGACAATTCACCAGATCTTCCAGGCTTTGTGAAGTAT